CAATCAATAACAACATTAACGACATGTGAGTCGTAGTGGAAACATTGCTGGGAAAGGGGGGGATCCACCCGCCGGATGTCGAGATATGAGCCGTCTGCCTCGTGCGAAAGCTCCCTGATTTATGCAATTGATTTCGCCGATAAGCTAGAGTATAAAAAATCGGTTTACAGACGCCCAAAATATATAAAGAAAAATTGCTAATGAACAAAACAAGACAGGAATTGATTAACGATTCATATAAATCAAGTGGTACATTTAGTTTTTGCACAATATTCTGTCGAAGGCAGCAAAAAATAGTTTATTCCTATTCTTATGATCCTAATATTGTCCGCTTCACTTCTTGCCAAATATTAAATGGCAACCTTATACAGCACAAGCGCAGAATGTTGTTACGTTTATAATCATTTCAAATATGTATTCCAAATGATTGGAAATGTTAAAACTAACGGTAGTTGGCTGAAGTTACCGTTGCCGAATTCTAATACATAAGCAATATTTAGATAATGTTATACACTCTCTCTATTCAGTTTCCTGGCGAAATATTAACAATTCAATTATTCAGATATTAACAGGGAACATTCAGAAAAACGAGGATTTTGTCTCCGACGGATTCGATTCAATTATATTATCGGTCGAAGCCTCCGATTTATTTATGCGAACAGCGTGATACGCACTAAGTATTCAACGCAGAGACATTTCCACGCGTAGAGGCACTCGGATTATCTTATCGGCTTTCTGCAAGTAGAAACACAGGCACTCGTTTGTGTGACTAATGGCTGCAACGCTGTGCGTCGCATCGCGCCGCAGCGGCAGCGCGACGTTTCCTCCGAAGTTCAATATACTATGGCACGAACGTACGTACGCGTCCTCACAGACCAGTCGCAGATGGCGAGGTCACGCGATCCCTTTCACCATTCTGCTCGCCCGGTACCGTCGCGGCGTCGACCTTACACGAGCCTTGATGATACGATTGTTTGCCGCGCCTACTTAACTGCCAGTACCGAGGGGCCCACTAATTACAAGCGGCGTAAAAGTATTATTATGAACAGTAGAATATCGTCAACCAACCGTGACTTAATCGCAGACACGCTAGATTTGGCTACAGCATTTTAGACATAGTTTACGCCACTTACTCCACTTCTACACTATCACGACATATCTGCTAAACAAATATACGTTTGTATAGTTTTTTTCTTTCTTTTACTGAAGGCTTGTGGAAAATTGGATCCTTATTCATGGAACAATATAGGCGAATATTGCACAATACAAAGGTACGCGTTAAGTGTCAAGCTATTACATGTTCGGCAGTTCGAAAACAGTGTGACGCAAAGAATCGACCGCAGCAATAATAGGAACCTACACGCATAAAGTAGGATGAACGTGTGGTGCCATGAAATGTAAGTCGCAATAACAGAACTGATACAAACAATACATATTTATGTTACACAAGATAATGTAAATGCGTGGAAATTAAAACGGCAGAGTCAAACTATACGAAAGGAAAGTCACAAGTCGTACTCGAGCGTCATAGAATAGTGTAGGAGCGCTTTGATTTTAGATAGGATATCGTGCTTCGGCTGTAGTCACGTCGTCGGTAAAACGGTACTAAAGCCTAAGCCACTATACGTAGACCTATACGTATCGGCTAGCAGCGACCACTGATAAGTGTAGGGCAAACATGATAACACGGTTTGCAGACCGGCGTGATACCGGCGTTGTGTTCCAACTGAACTTCTTTTCTCATTCCTGGGTTATCGTTCATACTTTTCATACTATCATTGTAACTAATTGTTACTTTCATTGTCATTTATGAACCATAGAATACAATGGAAATACACTTTTAGTCTTTTCATGCATCTTTAGATCCAGTTATTGAATATCTTCATTGATTATTTTGGAATTTGTATCACAGTATGGTAAGTTTTCTTTTTGGATCTACAATATTTTAGAAAGTTTGGGTTAGTACTATTTCGTACACTCCGTTACTCACTTTTCGAAAAAACATCTACATATTTTTATGGGATGTTGAACAGTTAGTTCTATTGCAAGGTTCCATGTCCGATCTAAAAATTTTAAATTCAGTCTTTGTAATTTTCGATAACGCAAATAACGTTATTTTGAGATTATTGAATTGTGCTACCTTTAGATGAAGCTGTTTGAATCCCAGCATCAGCCAAATTGTGTTTCATCTAGAGGAAGTATGAGGACAATATTTTAGCTTCAACTTGAATTGTAAATTCCACTTTCGGCAACCCTCTTTTATGACCAGAATTGTTATGGGCCTCTCTTTTTAGTACAATAGAAACTTTTTACGATTAAATAGGATTTGTGACCCTATTTGTGACGGCGAGTAGTTGTGCATTCAAGATTTTTTGCTTTGCATCACAAAGAAAGTATTGCGGAAGCCAGCCGACGTAACTCGTTGCTAAGGAAGGATACAAAATACAAAAGAAATATCTTGTACCTATACAGCGTAGCATTGTTTTGGCCTTTTTAATCGTATTTCTTGATACATTAATTAGCTATCGATAAGATAGTTGTTTGTTTACAAAATGCCATAAGCTAGTTTATGTGGTGGTTCAGTGTTGGCAGTTTACTGTAATAATATTTGGAGTCGAAAGAGATTAGGTAGATTTCTAAATGCGATTTTACACAAGCATAATAAATATTACAGTTAAATCATTGCAAACAAAACGTTATCAACGGTGAAGCAGTTCATTTAGTGTACTGTGTCTTGTAAACGGAGGCGTTTACCTACAGATTCGATAATGCACAATAAGACAATGCGTTCATCGAGTAGTTAGAACAATAGGTGTCTATGAAGTAGATACGAACGCACGCACCGTTACGCAACCGTGCCTTGTGCTAGTTTTTCTTGAGGTAAACATTCGAAAACCTAAGTGTCTACACACTTCGAGAGGATGTGGAGTTAAAATTACTTTAAAATGCATATTGTGAAGCGCATTGGCCGTGCCTTGCGATGCGTGTGCACACGTCGCACCCCTCCCCCCGCACCGCGCCGCGCTGCGCACCGCCGCCCCCCTGCCTGGCCCGGCACACGCGTCGATCAGCTGACCGAACTCTCGAGCGCCCCCTGCCTGCCTCGTCCAAAGCAATGCGTCATGCGTTATGTTGACTAACTCGCTCCACGTATACATTGCACAGACCGCTTACCTACCACCCACTCAGACTAGGAAAATACGTTATGATTTTGTTTTGAACGTGTGCCTTTTTGTCGTATTATTGTGTGCGCGAATAAAAACATTTTAGAGTGTGTGCAGTCGTACGATATTACGAATACAGCCGAACACGACAGATAACAGTGGGCATCGGTGTGTCGTAAACGAAACAGGCAGTAATCGTAAACGGAGGTGGACGTGCGGTGCGTGGCGTCCGACGAGTAAATTTCAGGCTTCCTTTGTTTACGTGGGGCGAGGCCAGCGCGGCCGGGAGCGCGTGGAGGTGGGGGGCGGTGCGGCTGCGTGCTGTTCAAGGTCAAGAGCGTCGGGCGTCGGCTCGCTGCACCGGCGCGCCGGCGACTGGACGCTCGCGAATCGGCGCACGCCCAGGGACCGGTTTCACTCGTGACGTGTGGCGGCGAGAGCGGAGAGCTGACGGCGGGCGGTGCGGACACGGACACTGGTCGGTACTCACCGGCCTGGAGGCGCCGCTCCTGCAGCTCGATGAAGCGCGCCGCCTCGAGCAGCGTGTCGAGCAGGCTCATGTCGGACGGGCGGCACGGCCCGCGCGGTACAAGCGCGCCCGCTGTCACGCCGCGACTGGCCACGCGCGCCGCGCGCCGCTCACGTGGCCGCCGCCACTACGAGCCAATAGCGCGGCAGCGGCCCGGTCACGTGACTGCGCAACCGGACCAATGAGCGGGCGGCCCGCGGCGACGTAGCACGGGGCGTGCGCGATCGATGCCATTGCAGGGATCGAATGCATGCCCCCGCCCGCAAGCCGGTGACGCGGCACACTCTAGCTTTGTTTATCTAATACTTTTCCTGTGTATTCGTTAATATTTTCTATTAAAAATCAATCTGAACGTTATCTATAACAAAATAATTAGTGTCTGTACTACTGCGTCGCCTAGTTAGAGCGATCTGCGAGTCGCGCACGTGCGTAGCTCCGGCCGACTTTCACTTCCTCGGTTATCGTGGACTTAACAAGTTGTTAGGTTCATTGAATTTTTATGAACTATCTTTTTGAGGTAAGATTAGATTGAAGAAAGCTAAACTAATTATAGATTTGTTATTTAGTGATTTTTTATAAAGTTTTCAAGGTGCAATTACTAAAACTATGGTTGGAAGGGACTGAACCTATTCATTCAGTACTTCAGCTAACAAAGGAATTTTCGTAAAAGGTGAAATGAACTCTATCCTGTGGGCTATGGAGTCAGAATGGTACACCATAAAAGTTTGTGAGTTGTAAACAAGTACACAATTACGTGCCTTGCGCGAAGTTACGTTGAGAGAGTAGGGGAGAAATTACAACGCGCTGAAGGAAAATAAAGTTCGTCATTTTTGGAACAAATCCAGGAAAGTTGTAATACGCATTATATCAATTATGCGTCGTGTTATGCAATGAGAATACGTAAATTTTCTTGAGTTCCATTTCTTATTTCAGACGGAAATTAATGATCAGGAAAGTGAACACAGTTTAGCTCACAAACTCACGACTGTATTAGGTATGAAAAAGTTTTTTTTAGAACGATTTACAACTTTTACTACGGGACCGATATCGTAAGTGAAAAAAAAAACAGCTGTCTTATACAATGCCGGCACAAAAAAAGGACACCCTTAGGAACAGATGTTTTTTTTACTAGATTCGTAGTAGAATATTATATTCATGTTTATTGTCACTCTTTGTCGAATATTTAATGTCCAATTGTCATGCATTCGCGAAAAAAAAATATGTATAGGACGAAATAATATTATGTCTTCTTTTTTCAGGCATCTAGGTGAGGATTAGGTTTAGGAGCAGTACAAAACTTCAAAAAATAGGTTTTAAATAAATTTATTTGTCTAAAAAGGATAATAACATGTGTTTTGATAACCGAGAAGCTGTCTTTAATTCGTTATTCTTCGCTGAATAACTTTATAGAATGCTTTTTACAGTAAAGCTTACACTTAGTAATAAATAGGTCTATAGACAATCTGAGTAGGGCAATTTTCCAACTAGTCAAATACAATAACACATTTCGAAATGTCAAAAAACATATATACGGTTCAATTGAGAACCTCTAGGCTTTTTGAAGTCCGTTAAAAAAGAAAATAATGTTCTATGAATTCTTCTGACATAGTGAGTTGTGACGTCATTTTTTTACGTCAAATATCACTTTTATATTTTTTTTTAATAGCCAGATTATATTTACGAAAGTTATGTCGATATAATATCGTCCAATCTTTGTCTTTTAAATTATCTTGTATTAAAATGTCGAAATAGTTAATTGGTTTTTGACTGAGGAAAACTACTCATAAGTAGGAAAAAAGTAAGTTAGAACTGTATTTACATTTATTTATTTATTCACTAACTAAATAGGAGCAAGAAATGTTTCAATCAGTACAAAAAATATATATTTTAATATCTAATATAATTAGATTTAGAGATTTCATACAAAAATATTAGTAACTAGTAGGTAGGTTGTATTGTCGGAACTTAAAAACATGACTAACATATTTTTAATATGTCTGACTTTGCTTATACGTTATATAATATGATAATAAAATAAATATACAAAAGACATATAATTACAATAGTTTTCCTAAAGGCGATTACAATCAGTATTAAGTTTGATGTAGTTAAACAAATTGTTTTTTCAAAGTTGTTATATTGCGAAACGTGTTTGTTTTGCCGTTTGTCCCCTTAACAAAATAAATAAAAATAAGTAGACAATAATATTTATATTAAGTAGTTTTAATATGGGTTTAGTTTGTAGTCAGTACACTTTATACTCTTGATTTATATCCAGTGGTCGATATAAATTCTCGCGGCAATATTACAACTATAGTGAAGCAGTGATTTTTTCGGATCGTTGTTTCGGCTAAATTACTTGGCTATAAGAAGTAGAAGCAACTGTACAAAGCGATGTATGATATCTGAGAGGATAAAATCACATATTTACTTATTTATAATAAATACGAAATCTCAATAAATCCCTTCGTAAAACGTTTTAACAAAATATTTCCACTATTCTAGTCAAACACACTTATTTTTATTTTTAATCAAACATTTCGTCTGATTCTTTCCAATTCTTATTAATTATTGCATTTGCAATCGAAATATTTGCAACAAAAACTCTTGCGAAACATTTCCTTAGTTTACACACCAAACATTTTTCAAATTAAATATAACTATTGTAAAATGATATAAATTCTCGCACCACGAACTGAGAAGGCACCTTATTGTGATATCTTTTATTTTTCACGTCTGTAGCTACATGTGGACTATCATCATCAACAGCCTATAAATGCCCACTACTGAGCAAAGCCTCTTCTCAGACGGAGAAGGTTAGAGCGTTAATCACCACGCTTGCTCAATGCGGGTTGGCGATTTCATGTGAACTATACTATACAGCTATTTTTTTTGTACGCACTAGTATCGCAACTATCAATATTTGTTATGTTCTTCATCACACATACCCACTATTGTTAATAAAAAATCTGTTAAACTAATTTGATCAATACAATATTTATACAGGACTCGAATAATACTAAATTATCTCTAATGTGGACCTTAAAATAGTGAGAAAAACAATTAACAACTAACACAAGATAGATAATAATTCGTGATCACAGCAATTCTTATTGCTTACCTTTCATTCTTGTACTAATTTAGAAATGTAATTTACACTATTTGATGTTGACTGCGGTTGTTTAGTCAACTGCAGGCATTCAATAATACAGGTAGACAATTGAACTAGTGTACCAAGGTAGCATGACACTACTCGCAGTAACTACGACTAACCTACATCACTCGTTCACACTTCGGACTTGATTAGTTGGCCGAAGATCACTTCTTCGATTATTCTGCAACCCTGGTACTTGAACTGCTCCTGGAGAAAAAAGAGAAAGTTGAAAATTTTGCTGAGATCGTTGTGACTGATACATACTGATCAGCACATTACCTATGTAGTTTTGAGCAATTGTTTTGCATTTTAACGTTCGATTCCCGCGGGCGATACTACGTACTATTTACTAAATTATGGATTTAATGTAATAACTGAAGCTAGGATGAGCAAAATCCAGTGATGAATAATCCTTTCAGGAAAATAGCTATCAGGTAAAGTAAAATCAAATGTGTGTTTGTGTCGACTAGCGAAGCAAACTAGCCAGCACGCTCGCCACTTTTTAAGATTTGTTTGGCATTTAAACAAATGTTCGCAGCAGTCTCTGATATATCTGATTCTTTTAAACACTCCGATCTCCAACCCCATCCCCCCACCAAGTTTGGAGATTATGAAAATCCCCTCACATGTAGAAGGGGTCCATAGTCCAGCAGTGGACTCTCATGGTCCGTTGATGAACTTACCAATGTACCAGGATCGCAGCAGCGGCAAGGATGTCTCCCGACATAACGGGCATGTGGCTATCGGCTGAGGTTGCTGACGTACAAGCTCTTCAGCTCCGTCTTAGGCGTGTTCTCGAAGAGGGCGGCACGATTCTGTCCCTCGCCCTTCTTCACCCAATGCCCGTAAACGCGGAAAGCGCATCCGTCGATGACCTAGAATTTAAAATGTAACGTTTTAGTGCAGTTCAAATATTAAGACAATACATAACATACCATTACGCCTTTTATCCTCGAAGGGGTAGGTAGAGGTGTACATTACGGCACCTAATGCCACTGTACTAATGTTCACTATTTTTGTTAGGAGTCCCATGTAATATGGGGTGAGCCTATTGCCATATACCGAGCACAATTACAGAGTCCAATCAACAAGACAATCTTGAGGTTTAAAAAATTTCTACATGAATGATGATCAGCTTCTGCCATGTGCTACAAACGTTTGACTGACATAATAAATACAGAGTTCTGACTTTTAAAATATAATAACTTTTATGTCTTGTTTACACGACGCTAGTAATTTAGTCGAGTTGCGAATATTTAGTATTTCTCTCTCACTTCCATTGTGGAACAGAAGCGAGAGAGGTCTACTGAATATTCGCTTCTCGACTAAAATACTAGCGTAGTGTGAACATGACATTAAAATGCTTTAAATTATAAAAGGCACACTGTAAGTCTGCATTCTAACAAAAGCATTTATTCAAATAAATGCATTCTAACTTATCTCAATAGGACTTTTAAGAAAAAAGATTAGGTGTAATAGTTAGTCATACCTTTCTGAGAACGCGCATAGTATAGGGGTCACGTAGCGCGTCGGCGAGTGGCAGTGCGCGCGCGGCGGCGTGCGGCAGACGACGCAGGCGCACGGCCGCGCGCACCGCTACCAGCGCCACGCGCAACTTGCCGCGCGCGTTGAACCCGCCGCTCTTTATAGCCTGTTATATAAACGCACTCATACTACGTGTACATATGGGATGGTAGTTGTGGAAGACATTATTTACCCGTTATAGACCAAATTAACATCTTAACTAACACTTTATAAAAAACAATAAAAATATCAATAAGTTCCCATAATTAAAAAGTAAAAAATTACAATACCACAAACTGAAATTTTTTCTAATACTAACTTGTTTAGATATCACACATTCATATTTTTATTTCTAACTATCATTACGTTTTCCACAACTAATATAAACAAAAGGTAAAAGTTGCATATTCCACCAATAAATCAAACATCTGTATAGTACTTCTTATTTTGTGATTCTAAAAATGTCATGCAAAGAGAAGCTAAATAGAAAATTCATAACAACATGCAAAAGAAATTGAGGGCAAAGCATTTAGGACAACGTGCAAACAAAATAGCACAGTTCACTACAGTATTGAAAAAAATTACATTTGTATGAAACAGAGTCCAAACATTGTCATTTTTGTAAAATTAATTGTATGCGTTATTTAAAATTAAATTATGTTTTCCATTTGAGTTAACTAGACTAATTTCAGGCCACGTTAGGGATCCATAGTCGAGTTATCTCTAGCCAAATAGTTACATTATTAAACTGTAAACATAATTCATTTTTGTCATTAATAAATACAATTTTGAATTTCTTATTTATAATAAAATTAAGATTGTGCTATTTTGTATAAATATCCGTATCTACACTTGTTCTTGTTAAGTTTTTATTTTATTTGTATGAGTGCCAGTGTAAGTGTGTGTGAGTGTGTAATTGAGTTTCGTGAGTGTTCAAAAAGTACCCCAAGCAAGAAGATTTCTTATAAAAATGATATCATATATCCTAAACCACCTTTTTTCAGTTTATAACGACACAACCATTGAAGACATCCCCGAAAACATTTTTTGTTTCTCAACTCACTATTTTAATAGGAAAACTATATTAAAATATAAGGGGGAAGATTTTAGTCATTAAAATATTACAGTTCACACAAAATGTTGCAATAAAGTACTGAATAGATATGACGTTTCTTTTTAATATCATTTACTACGTTTTGTTATAACTCGGCCTTTCATCAGCTACCCAGAACTGATAACACGTGTGCTATTTCTTATAAACAATAGATAATTCAGATTAGTTAGAAATATTTACAATATTTTTTTATATCCATGCATGACATTATTTCCCTTTAATGTATGTATGTGGATAAAATTCGTCATAACTATTGCCCAAATATTAAAAATTAGTCACAATGAGATTACCATAGCCAACTGGTCGATCCTAGACATCCGACGGCTGGTACTGGACAAGGATTTCTTGAGCGGCATCATGTCTTGATCCCATAACTACCAGGGATGCAGAAATATGTAGCAGTTGTATTGTGTTTCAACATAATTGCTTTGTGGATATGAGTTCCTAGTTATGTGATTCAGGTTAGCAAAACTTTTGTCTTTTGCTTAGAATTTGAAACATAACATATGAAAGTTGGAGTTTCTTTTTTAAAATCAAATAACTAGGAACAAATAAAAAGAGCAAAAATAAAAGAAAAAAAGCTCTACAGTGCATCATGCACTGTTTAAGTGCACGTAGGAATAAATTGAAACAAATAAATTAATAACAACTGCTTTTTGCTGTATTAGTCGAATAAGCTATTCAAATGAAGCTTTGAAAGCACAAGAAATCTGAAGCGAAATATGGTCGATTACATGTAATTTAAAATCGACTAGAAACTTTAAGTAAAGGGATTTATTGTAAGCTTTTTATAAAAATAGGGTAGTTTCCGACTTGTCAAATTCAATACTTTATTTCGTGTACGTTGAAATTGCACTTTAGGAAGTCATAATTGTTGTTTCATATCTACTAAATAAGTTAAAAAAATTTAAAATTTAACTAAAAGAGATCGTTATAAATTTTATAGTTACTCTAATAGACGTAATAGTAATAATAATTTACTTTTGACTAAGGAAATCACCCTATAAAAATCAATATACCGAAATCTAACTACCAGGAGATCATGTTTAGAGAGAGCACTCACCATCGTGTTGAAGAAGGGATGGTTGAGGGCGTCGATGATGCCAAGTCTTTCGCTCGGCTCCACCACTAGGAGTCGCCTAATTAAATCCTTTGGGTCATCTGTAATCAATAAGTAAATCGATGTATAGCAGCAGTACAAATAAAGATATTTGAATGTTAGAGAGAACACAGATTTGACTGAATAATGAAAACTAGTTCACGGAAAAATAATTAATTTTTACCTACAACTCGACATAGATTCGTAGACAACTAGCAAACCACGATTTACATAATTTCATTATCATTCAGACCCATTAGACTTATAGCTGGTACTCATAAATTATGTAGTCAACAAGGTAAGAATATAAACTATAGGCGCCTGTACGCCACCACGACAGAAGCTTCTTATATTTTAAAATTTAACACTTCAAAAACTTAAGTACAACGCGATCTAAGTAGCTACTGTCTCTATACAAGGTGTAGTTTTGAAACCATGACATTTCTCGGGAGCATGTCATAGAAGTCATACAGGTTCAATTTAAGATAAGTTTCGGGCCAATAGTTAAAAATACGGCTATAATAAATCGTTTAAGTTCGACAGTATTTCAGAATAAGCGACAGCAATGTTTCTTATTGGAGTTTTATGGAATTAGGAATAATATCAATTACGTGTTTGAGTTTGTGTGAATTAAGCCGCGTTATAAAACTAGTTACAAGACGGCGGCGTGTAGTTCGCACTTACGGATTTCCGTAATTTACAGAAAAATGAGAAATATTGACCTAAAATTTTAATTGATTCGGACTCAGAATCGATAGCTGAGTTACCTCTTAGAAAATGATGCGGCTTTAAAACAACACCTTGTATACTGAACCAACATTAATACTCTCATCTGCATACCAAATATTTTGGCTGGCATACAAGATTATGCTTACCTGAAATATCCGCCCACTCCGGGCTGGTGAAGGAATACTTCCCCTCCATGATATTCCGCAGCATCACCATCTGCTTCCGATGCCAGAATGGAGGACAACCGACTAATCTGTAAACATGTATGTTGATGTTTACACTTAAGGAAATCTATGGAAAAACAAACGCAGTTCAATCAAATTAGTTTCCGTTAAGAATAGAAATTGACAGTAAGATTATATCTATGCAGATGAATAAAATTGAAGTGTCTGTTTGTACTATTAAAAACTATCACTCTTCAACCTTCTGGTACCAATATAATGCCTTCTAATACCTCCATACATAAAAAAAAACATTCTTTAAACTCTATTCTGGTTGAAAGATAGTGAAACAAACACATTTTCAGTAAGTGTGTAAAAGTCATTTTCAGTGTTCATCATCAATCATCATCAACAGCCTATAAATGCCGACTGCTGAGCAAAGCCTCTTCTCACACGGAGAAGATTTGAGCATTAATCACCACGTTTGCTCAATGCGGGTTGGCGATTTCAAACTTATAATAAGAAAGTATAAGTTTAGGTTTCCTCACGATGTTTTCCTTGACAGTTTGTCAGTGGTGTCTAGATAATCTTAGAAAGTACATATAACTTGGAAAAAGTCACATTGGTGCTTGCCGTTGGTAGGTTTCGAACTGGTACCCTCATTCATGAGAAGCGCCTCCGAGCCACCACGACAATTTTCAGTGTTATATCGAATAAATACAGACTTTGTGGTCATTATAGATTCGACTTAAAACGTGAACACTGTATATCTTGTTCGAGTAAATAAACTATTTTTGATTTGATTTAACATACTAAAGTCGAGTCGAGATCATACCGTACAGAAAAGTTGAGTAAATAATAACGTTTATCAATACTTTCACTGAATCACGTTAATTTGTGTTTACCAACTATGTGCTAATTTCGATACAATTACACATTATTATTTATTACGTAATTGTTTATTTTAAAATACAATGTTTATTAAAAGTTATTTTAGAAATTAGTAGAATATTCGTTATTGTTTATTTATAACGTAGTTTGAAGTTTGGTCTTTAATTAATTAATTAAGTAACTATGTATATCATAACTTCAAAATTTTTATTAAATTTATTTCATTAAGAATAAGGAGTAGGATTGACACCATTTTACTGCATTCAGGAATAGATAGCAAGAGAAACACTGGATATAATTCCAGAAGTTCAGAACATTTTAGAATTAATAATCCCAAAATTTTTCGGCTTCAAATCGGCAACTGGACCGACTAGTCAACCAACGAGGCTGTTTATTACCAGAACCTGTTTTTCAAGATTTATAACCTATTTTGATATCTATCTATTTAGTACATCTAGTTTTCGCCAGTATAGGCAGATATTAGTAACAAATAATAACAATATACACTTACAAAGTAAACATGATGACGCCACACGCCCATCTGAAACGATAAAACAAAAAATTACATATACGTACGTCGGTATGTAGAACGATACATTATAGTAGTCAATTTGAGTGACAATAACATAATTCTTTTAATTCAGTTGGGTACACACAATTTTCAACATTCCTGGAGACTTCGTCCGCGGAGAATATTATTCTTGTTTTATCCCATGTTGCATTTAATCGGGATAAAAATAATATTCTATCACCTAAGTCAGCCTAACCCTGCCTGTATACCAAATTTCATCAAAATCCGTTCAGTAGTTTCAGCGTGATTGACGGACAAACATCCAAACAAATAAACTTTCACATTTATAATATTAGTGTGATTCTCTCATAAGGTTGTGACAGTTCACAACCATTGTTCTTTTTGTGGGTGTTAGGGTGCGCCTACATGTGGGGACTGTTCCGTGAATGTGTAGATCGGGAGCCGTTTGCAGGCTGCCCGCGGGCTGCGTGCGTTCAGTCATGGAACTGAATAAGAAGTTGAAATTTGAAGTGTAACTCATTCAGGGTCGTATAAATAATATTATTATTTTAAATTAAAACGCTCGCGAGCTGCACATTCGCCAGATGTGGAGACACCCGTAGAGCCGATTAACATAAATGGAGTAGATCGGATAAATCAGGACGTTCTAAACTAAGATCTCCAAGCCGACTATCAAGTGTAGATACCATAGCATAGGTATATCTCATGAACTGTTAATATCAATATGTTAAATGCTCCATCTGTCTAGGTTTTGTATGTCCTCATTAGTGCTTATTCGATTATAACCTTTAAAATAACATGCTAAAATTCTCTTTCTCAATCATTCAGTATTTTTTTAGTTCATTGTTCATATTATGTAAACTACAATGAATCAGAAAATACAACGACAAGTTCTTTATAATTAAAAAAAAACAATCTTAAAAAAAAATTAAGATTAAGTTTTATAGAAATTGAATAAGCGGGGCGAAACTCATTAAATAAACACAGAGACAAGGAAACAAGTTCCTTTACTATAATTATACATACTTAGATAAATAGATGGCATCTAATCATTTTTATATTGCCACGCGTCATTTAAGATATGAGCCAGCAAAATCATCGTTTATCTACCAGTACTGATTATTGCGTAACTTTGGGTCAAATGTCAGCATTTCAACGATTCTTTAGACAAAACTAACATGTTTAATATAAATTAGTATATCATTTTATATTTATTATTTATTAAATAAGTAATAACGACACCACATATTAATAATACCGATTTAGTTTTAAAATCATAAAGTGATACTGCAATAAAATTATTCAAAAGTTCCTTCTGCTATTTATTGCATGTCAAATTTCGTTCGCGTTGTTAACAGTAATTTGAAAAATGCAACAGATTTCTACATTTGGAAATTTGACCTAGACGTTCTAGTCCAATAAGCTGAAATGAATGCGTATGCGCACGGATTTCGTGTTACATAATATCCAAAAACGCGTATTTGAGATTTTGAGAATGATATTTTTTTCTAATAAAAAGCGTTAATAAGTATAATTCCTTTTGCTAAAGTCTGTGGTTCTAGAGGGGATCTTGCTTCCTTTAAAGCCCTGAGTGAATAGATTACATAAACCAAACTCACACTAAGGCTTCTGTTACGACCTCGTAGCTGTAGCGGTATCTCAACTAGTTTCAACCCATGCCAGGGATCCATAGTATATTGTAACTTTGTACTTATTTACATAAACACATTAACACCACACCTTTCATTCCTCATAAAAATATTCAAAGTTACTCACATGTCAACTTCCTTGCCATAACCAGGTGCGTCATCGAACATGTTGGCTTTAAGGGTTTCGGGAGCCAAGTAGCCCGGAGTACCACACAGCTCTGTAATGGGGAAACATTCCTATATTAATAAAGAAAGAGCCGTTAGTGTTCCACAGTTCAGCGAACTTATATTTTTTTATACCCGAAGTGATTGACATGGCCACAATTTCCGAATTGCTACTCAGAATTGCTAAAATAAACATTTTTTGCCTGATCCTGGAATCGAAATTCGAACCAGATTTGCTCAACAATCGCACCTGTGACTCCTCGATTAATTAACATGCACAAAAGATTTCTCAAAAAATAATTAATACCAACAAAGGACTACATGAAGGTACAACCAAGGTACCAGGATATCATAAACATAAACAATAGCTTTTGTTCTGCGAGTGAAACTACTGGGTATTGTGTTGGAACCAGATGTAAGACTAGATGCACAGTGCCACAGTGCGTGACGAGCATGTACCACCAATGTTAGTGTTGCAACTGTATGTAATTACTTAGTAGCTATGAAATAGTCTATAATATCATTAAAATAAAAGTAAATTAAAAAATAAAACTGACGCTAATATCATTGTTCCCACCCTGGCCCCAATTAATTTCAAGTTAGCTATTCTAAAAAGCTTATCTTTGTATTTTTAACAGACTAAAAATAAAGAGGTTTTACAATTTCATCGCCTACCCTAGTTTCTGTATTCGACCAACTTTGCTTTCCACAGTACTCGTTAATCTGTGTTTCCAATAAGATTTATGGGGTTAAAAGAAGAATTTGGCAAATATAGTTAGGATAACCATAACTTTCAATCAATGTTCGTTTATTCACAATGTCATAATGTTGCCATTGAAAGAAAACGAACTAAAAATTAATGCTCGACTCCAAAGCTATTCAGTTTCTGTAGAGTATAAAACAAAGACTTACTTATTTATGATTGACAAAGTAACTAATTAGATACAGATGAAAAGCTTCTACTGACCGAATAATTTTTCTCCATCTTTGAGCACCTTTGCGAAACCGAAGTCGGTGATCTTGACGTTGAGCTGGTCATCTAGTAGAATGTTCTCGGGCTTCAGATCTCGGTGCACAATGCACTTACTATGCACGTGCCGAACTCCCTCGAGGACTTGTCTGCAAGGATTAATTGAACGTGTTTAGAATTATGATGTCCTGGTACCTTGACGACAAATTATGAGCACTTAATAAAAAACGATTTTTAATAACTTTACAGTTTAAACATTCTGATCACAAAAAAACGGTAAAATTAAAAAATCTAAGTCTCGAAGATATCTCATTTGTTATACAAAATTTTTATAGAAAGATCACACTGAAGAAATAATATTTTATGGGGCAAATTAAAAATTAAAAGAGCAAATAATCAAGTACATAACTTTACCTCAACCACTTATAAAACAAAACATCTAAAACTAAATTGTAATAATGAACAAGAAACTCAACACACGCGATAGATTCCTTCTGTTTCAGAAGTTTCTCCTCAAACTCAACCTTGAAGAACACACTCAAAGCCATTTTTACCGTTATTTACAAGAAATTAAATTGATTATTTAATTGTATGTGCGACTATGGTCAAGTACTAGGAGACTATGACAGAGCAGGAGTTAAGTCAACACTGGGTTACTACAACGTATGATTTACGCGAATCCCGGCGTTTATCTGTGCACACGCCTCCACACAGATAAAATAATTACTATGACGTTGGACATGTGTGCGTACTTATGTCAGTACTTTGCCGGATCTTAATAGAGGGTCAATGTATGAGTTGCCTTTATTCTCGAAAACAGACACAGATAAAAGCTGATTGGAGAAAAAACACATTTGCCACGCCTTCCTTAAAAGTGAGGAAATTGATAACAAATATTACTTCACGAGGTCATTTTTCCTATTTATATCACCAAGATAATATTTGGCCAATTCTAGCCTCAACCCGCGGCCTAATTAGATGACTAGCTTGTTGTTGGGGGGCTCGCGGGGGAGATTTAACAAAACTGAAACACACTGTTATTGATTCAGTCCTTCCGCTTACGCCATTGTAAAAAAGCGAAGTAAATTGTATACATTTGCTGATAGAATAAACACTGCACATGTGAATCGCAGAGGACTACTCATTTATAGGTCGCTATGCTAATTAGGTTTAACACCCGCATAGCACAAACAAACACTATTTATAATTATATCTACCTCACGCCGTTTACGATTATAAATGCTTGCATTCAACAGAACACATTTCTCAACTAATTCTAACTCATGATGTCCTGGTGCTGCTGGTATCCTTAGACTATGATGACTGCTTACTTACTATCAGGCTACCCATCAGTTTCGTTGCAATTGATGCTAATATCTTGAAAGAAACTGAGAAACTCAGTACCGATATATAATTATGCATTTGTGTTAATCGCGATGGGAATTCACATAATTTTTTCCCTGATCGAGAATTGAATTTACTCTGTCCTGTAATAGAAAAGTCCATTCTTTATTGGACCTCTTTTTTAGGGGGGACATCATCCAATGATTTCTCCCGCCTTGGGTTAGGCGAGAGGTAGTGTCAGACTCTTACTGACCACCCTGTCCCTACTCCTGCTCTTCGAGCCGAAGCCTCGGCAATCCGTAAGGCTTTCCGCGACTCCGTATCTGGCATCAGCCCTACTAGGCCCCATCTGTGGTGGTCAGATGGCTCTTTAAGACGATTCTTTATTGGACTTTAGGATTTATATTATACTAGCGACCCGCCCTGGCTTCGCACGGGTGCAATATGCATGTATTATACATACAAACCTTCCTTAAGAATCACTCTATCTATTAAAAAAAACCGCATCAAAATCCGTTGCGTAGTTTTAAAGATCTAAGCATACATACGGACATACAGCGAAAGCGACTTTGTTTTATACTATGTATTGATATTTATAATCGTAGGTTCATAACAATTCGGCCAATAAAACAGGCCTAAACACAACATACAAAATATGGAATATAAAGGAACAAATGTAAACTAATAGAAGTAAAAAAAACATGCTTTCGAATTTTATTGACCGCAAACATCTCTTTACGTGTCAGCGAGCGTACAAAGTGCAAACACGATAAAATATTGCGTAGGAGTCGCAATGATCTCTAGAGTTCATAAAAGTGAAATTTCGATAGTCGTTCTCTTGTAAAATTATTATCATTGAGCAACCTCGTTTTGATTAGGTCGTAGGCATTCAAGAGCATTTAAAATAGATGTATAAATAAAAGATTTTCTGATTAAAACTTGAAATGTGTCCTCCAATAAATTTAATATTGAAGCCTAGTATTTAAACTGAGAAAACCATATTATTTGTTATCAATAGCTTCAACATGACGGCATTCTTTTTTTAACAGGTTAAAAAACGAAGCAGGTTCTCAAGCCGACGTGTATTTTTTTTGTGTATGACCTTGCACATTTTTTGCCACACACACATGAGTGTTTTATAATGAACGATTTGTAACCCGTGTTCAAAGTTGATATCCAAACTATTTCTTTATACCAAGCAAAATTTCAAGCACCTCCTCAAACTAGACAGGCTCTAGTAACTAGGGATTTATAACAACCGTGACGTAATCCTATGTGTTTCTCTTTAGCTCCTAAAGCAGACGGAATCAGTTGATATCATTACCGAAACCTTACTCATGAATTAATCTAATTTGTTCGGATTCAGGTTGAGATTAGATGAATACTGTTACCAATTGGGTCAATGGCGTTAATTAATAGATACAGGTGGTGAAGGTTGTATTATTGTACTTGTTACTGAGGTAGGAGAAGAGAAGGGCACATTTAATTACTTTCTCCTACTCGACTTACTTCTACTCCAATGGGAATGGGGACTACCATTTTTTTTGCTGAGCAGATGGCGCTAGTGTGCTCCTGTGGGCCTTTCGACTTTTCGTCTAATAGAGAATTAGTGGTACACCACTGAACTTTAAATCTAGACAGCAACAGCGATTGGGCAAACTGACCTCTTGCTAGATTAGTCCAGTTTGGTGCCGCGATTTTATTTCATAGCTGTTATGCTTATGAGTACAAATTTGAGTCATCATTCCATTTGGGCTATGTGTAACTAATGGAATTTTTTAAATATTCCTTTTGATCGTCACAAATATTTGATTAATGTATTCTGATAGAATAGGTTAAAATCAGTAAAATTTATTTTAATTGCTTTTTCAACAACGCTCCATAAAATAGTGTTAAAACTGCGTCATTGTTTAACAAAGAAAGTACTAGATTTCTAGGAAATCGTTCAAAAATAGAGTTTAATCAGGCGAGATGAATAAGCCTAACTGCCTAAGCTTGATGACCCGTACTTAAGGTCACAGTACACAACAGAATGCCCTTGAAAACACACAAGTGTGGTGCGTAAATATCAGGAGCTAATTTTAGTATAAATATGCTAAATGCCCTATATATGGCACGTCTTATCTATCACCCACATTGGAAAATAACAATGCGTTGTAATTATTTGTTTCAAGTTATAAGGGCCAAACGACTAGCTTTACTCTTCAGATACGCCTAGAGATTTATTGATCAAAAAAAATTTTATAACAAGAAGAAATACTAGATTAGGTGCCCAAACACACACTTCTAAATACGAATTAGTTCCGGATTACATCTGAATGCCCAAAAATGAAGGCATTTAGTCGTGTACATATTCATTTTTTAAAGCACCCGGATAATACGAGAATAGGATAAATTAGTTGCGTAAATTACAACTAGACAGAGTCCAAACAAACACGTAAGCAGTATAAGCAAAGATTAGAAAACGCAATTATTAAACAGATGCATCAAATTAATACGAAGAGATGAGATGAGTGAAATGCGAACGTTCTCACAGTATTACGTCCACAGTTTGATAACGGCTAGATCTTTGTTGCGTAAACAATGGTCTGATAACTACGTGTTTGCATGTTAAGGCTTTTCTAATATTATTATTACCCTATTATGATTTCCACGTGAGAGCGTGATCACATTGATTTTATTTGAACTTGTATTTCATGGAAACTTACGGTAGGTAGTAAAGAAGACATATTATGAACCAGGATTAGAAATAACACCATCTCTAAGGATATTTGCTTACTGGGATTTTAATGATGAGCTTCCACAATCGCCTTTCATTCGTCATTTTCGACCAAAGTTTTCGGACGACCGCGAGGAAACCAACGCCAGGTGGTGCGTTGAGTTGTAAGTTTAGCTCCGTAAACGTCGTTGATGTTGCGTGACGCTTCTGCCGCATTGCTGCCACGGCAACGACGGTACTCATACTCCAATAATACTCGAATTTTTAAATTATCACTAATGACGAATAACATTGAAATACCATTGTAACATTAATCAATAAAAAAATTACTACTTTTGGAAAAAAATATCAATGATTTTAAAATTAAATTAATTTGAAATTAAATTTCTTAGCCAAACAAAAAAGATTTTGATTTGAAATGGCCAGTACTGCAATTTCATAGGTAAAGGCCTAATCTAATATGATGACCATAATAGAAGTCCTGCTAGATACTATGTAGGTACCTATATTAGAGTGTGAGTATGACTGAGTTTTTTATTTCTTTATAAAGAAATTGCCTGTAGGCTAATCGACTCTACTCGTGACTGAGAGGGCTGGCTATTTCTTCGGACAGAAAATAAGCATTGCCATTCAACGTGGCAGTGCTGCCTGTCTTCTGGGCACGATCCCCAGTGACAGTGATGCGGACGAATTCTTTGACAGATTTAGTTTTTTCGTTTATCTTTTTTATTAATTTTTATTCAGTCTTAGGTATATTATTTAAGTGTACCTATGATACAAAATATAGCTCATGTTTATTACTTACCTACCTATAATCATGAATCTCGAAAATAAGTCCGTTGAATATAAAATATAAAAATTACATTATAGAACTCACCTCATAATATACCTAGTCTTCTTCTCCGATAAAGTGACAACAGAGGTGAGATAGTCAAAGAGCTCTCCATTCTTGCACAGCTCAAACACTAAGAATATAAATGTTTCCGACTCGAATACATCCTGCAGCTCAACTGCAACAAATTACATTTACTTCAGGTGATTTGTTCCGGCACAACAATAAGATTAAAAATTTCCTGCAATTGGTAGATTAATAAATTATAGTTAGATTTTTATTTAGTAAAATTAATTATAAATCATTATTACTGCTTGCCGTTTTGCTATAATTAGCATCGGTTGATATGTGATTCTTGTTTTATTACATTATTACATAGATGTCCAAAATTAATAGTTACAACAAAGTTGTCAGTTTCGAAAAATATATGTGTTCAGTGTTGATACCCAAGACTTTTTTATAGGTGATATTGACGGTGTTAAAATAAACTCAGGCGTGTTTTCTTACATTGCTATTTTATTTGTATTAATTTAAGTTGTAGTTCATAAGACACCATTACCAAGTACCATCAGGTGGGCCATATGCTATTTTGCCACCGTGCTAAAAACATCATTAGGTTTTATTTATTTTTGTCTAGATAGGGCTAGCAACTCACTCACTAATATAAGGGTGGCCGGCAACCATCCGCAGTATGTGGATCTCCTGCCGCGTTGCATCCCTCATAGTATGTGTATCCACTCCATCTTGGGATTCCTGACTGAGGTCTATAATCTTGGCCGCATACTCTTTTCCAGTTTCCTTCTCTATACATCTTCGTACTGTTGAACTTATGCCTCTGTGGAAAAAATATTCAATATGGTAAGAAAAAAATTACCTAATGAATATTATATTAGTTGATGACAGACTGTTAGATGAATTCCTGTTACTATGCTATTATTATGTGCAATTTTTGTGTCTATCACGAATTTGCAGTTCTCTTGCAAATCTTATTTGAATTTTAAATAATTTTAACTCATAAATTTTTTTGTTTCTTATCAGAAAATGCTTTTTGGTCTCACTTTTGCAGTTAAGGTAATGTTATATAAAGAAGCTACACTTTGTTGGAATAAAACCCAAGAACAACTAGCATATGGACCCAAGATTAGAGCATTGTTAAAAATTCTAATTATACTTTACAAATTATAACTTAAAAGCCACCCAGAATTTTATTATTTGTGTACAGAAATCTATGAAGCGCAACTACTTTTTGAATTAAAAAAACACAAACGAATGATTATCATGCAAATTACTAATAATTTACACTACCAAAAATGCTATTATAAAATAAAATTAGCGATTTTGATTCCAAGGTCACACAGAAGACTCTTTAGTAACAACACTTGTAATGATGCCCAGACGCTTTAAATAATTCCCTGGTTCCTTGAAATTGGCACCAACGCAACTTATCAAAAATCGCTAGGCACTATGCGTAACATAACTATTATTTTCTCACCTGCCTATTATTTCCTTCGGTTCATATCTCGCGTAGAATTCTTTCGCCGCATCCTTGTCCGGCAAATTGTCGTCGTCTTCCTCCTTTGCCATCGTGCTCACTGTGGCTGTTATTATATTTTCGTGTACTAATTATACGTAATTAGCCTATCCACAATGACGAAAGGTTATTGTTATGAAGCGAAGTGACAGGATAGTTTCCTTACTATATTTTAAGAAAAAGCACTGTGTTGATTAGTTTAATGAATGGACCTTTAACCTATTTAAGAACTTAATTTGATAGCAACAATAAAATATATCAATTAATGTATCGGTAGGCTATCAAATTGGGAAAAATGTGAACGATTGAGTCTTTTATTCTGTCACTCAATGATCAATGACATTTTACTGAAGAATTGAAGACATTTTGACTGACAAAGTTTTGTTTTTTTGACGTTATCTTATTGTCTTTGGTAGTTTATTATAATAAATCGAATTAACTTTATTGTATTTGTAATGTAATGTCTAATTATAAGAGTCATAAAAAATAATAGGCTAAACTGACAGTTCGAAATAGTAAAACGTAATTTCCATTTTAGAAACTAATTTAAAAGGCTAACAAGTTCAAACAACCCTCTTTTGACAACAGCTGATTTTACTCTATGGTATGTTTTATTTTGTCCTTTTCTCACTTTGTTACCAGAATCATAATGAAATATTCTTTGTCTCTTTTACTCTTGTTATAAACGATAGAGGTAAAAGATAATTTATGCTGAAGCTGTGGTCTTCTTCGTATTGACATATCATTGTATCTGTCCTTGTTGCACGTTTCTTTCTTGTCGCTTGGTATGTTTTCGCTTGTTGTTCCGTCCCGATGGTCTAGCATTTTTCAGTGTTATGCAGATTATCCTTATCAGTAGATATATCCCGTGATTAGTTTGCGTGGACTTTATTTACAAAGCTTGGATTTCGGTGTTTAGTTCCTAACATCGAGTTTTTTGACCAGGTGAGCAAACTACGCATAATTTTTCTTGCTAAGTGACAATCGTATTTTGTACTGTTGGTACTTTTAATATCTTTTTGACAACCTTGAAGCAATAAAATACCAGTTTGGTGCTATTTTCTTTGTTCAAGTGGTATGTGAAATCAATTGATTTCATAATGCCGCGATCCTTATTTGACTTATGCTCCAATTAACTCTAGAAATGTACATAATTGGCTTTCACTGCTAGTGGTTATCATTCTCTGTGTATTTGTGGGTATATAACACTTTAATTATTATTTTTAAGAATGTTTTACCAGCATAAACAAAGTGTCCTATACTAACTATACCAATAAATATCTTACAAGAATATGGTGTAAAGTAGGTAGATAATATTCAAATTATATACCATGGTTTGCACAGTTTGTAGTCTGCTTCAATACCTATATTTTATCTAAATACATTTTCGGCTGTTGTCTCAACATGGGTCATATTACAAGGTCGACAGTTGATAGGCAACTATAATAATTTATTTTACTAAATAATAATTTAGTTTAATTTTTACATTTATAATTTCGGAAATAATCCCATAGAACTGCAACTATTCAGTAATTAATGTACCAGTACCGGGAGCACAGAAGATCAATTGAGGATTATGTAACAGGACATGCTATGATGTCATTCTGATGTTCCTTCCAATAAAGGCAATAATTCCTTCTTAATATAAAACAAAGTATCAACAATGCAAGACATTATAAATAAAATTAAATGTAGGTATTGTTAGGAATAAAAACATAATCTTCAAGAATCTTAGTTTGCATTCTTCAGAATCTAGGTCAGTTAATTAAATGATTCAACTCAAAATTATATAACATATTTAATATGATATGAGTTTTATTTTAAGCTTTATATAGATATCTGGAGCTGCAACCCCTAACACATTACTGGAGCTCCAGCTCAAAGAAAGAGTAGGATTGGGGTAGTTTTTAGTTAGTAAGAGAGTTACATTTTTTCTTGCCTCACCCAAGACTGGAGAAGTCATTGGATGATTGTCTATAGAAAGTCAAAATGGTCCGCCAAAGAATTATACTTTATTTGTTATTATCTTCATCAAATTTAATAGTGACGAATTGAACTGTGGGTATAGTGATATAATAAATACACCCTCTAAGAACATTGCGCTTATATCATTACTAATTAACTCGTTGAGTACCGTCATTATAGACACAATTAAAGAACAATAGGTTGCGGTCACCGGTGACCGCTCGGTGTTTGACAGTTTCAAAAGTGGCCCACTGGAATAATAAGGTATGACATAATGTATTTCCATATAAAATTTATTAAATGTATGTATGAAGCGAAAGTGGTATGTAAGAATCTAAGAATATAAGAATAAGAAATAAGTATTTTTGTTCCAAATACTTAATAGGCTACATACCCCGAATATACCGCAAAGGAATGGAATTCCTTGCCGGAATCTGTTTCCCGAAATATGACTTGGGTGTCTTCAAGTCCCGAGTGAACAGGTTGCGCATGGTAGGCGTGCTCCATCATCCCACATCATCGCTTGCCACCAGGCGAGATGGTGGCCAAGCGTCGACCCATAAAGTTTAAAAAAAAAATATTCTACAAATCAATACATACATAGTATAAAACAAAGTCGCTTTCGCTGTATGTCCGTATGTATGCTTAGATCTTTAAAACTACGCAACGGATTTTGATGCGGTTTTTTTTAATAGATAGAGTGATTCTTAAGGAAGGTTTGTATGTATAATACATGCATATTGCACCCGTGCGAAGCCAGGGCGGGTCGCTAGTTGAAAATAATTTTTAAAATGATTAATTTTTTTCTCAAACACTTGAATTCATTTTATTAGTATTTTATACTGTTGTAAATTAAATTGGTTTCCAGCAGTGGACATTGCACCTGCTGACCTGACCATTTGTGACCTTTTTGATAAAACTGTTCAAATATCAGCCTCAGTTAGTTGTAGAGTTTTCGCCCAGATGGCGCTGCCTGTTAAGTAGTTCCATTTTTACCCGACTGTAATAATCAGTTTTTCGAGTTTATAATTACAAATAGAATTAATGAATGAATTGATGGATTCTGATTTAATTGTTACATAATCTTACATCTTACAGACTTGCGCAATGACATTTAGAAGCAAAAAACTGAATTAAGCACTAATTTAATTATTTATATCTAACATTGTCGTTTAACCATAATGGATTTTAATTAAATGAAATAAATAATTTCCAATGTAATCAGTATCTAATTACACTCCTATTAGACGAATTAATCAATAGAAAACAAAGTTCTATAATCTTACATTTAATGTATTAGTCACAAACTCATAACAACTACCTGCTCACGAAATTGATTTTGTTTTTACATTTAGTTATAAAGTTTCTACCCGAAAAGGTAAAAGAAAAAAAGGCAAGGAAAAGGAAAAAAGGCACATGTGTGAATTCTCAAGAATGACAAATATTCAGTGACTACTGAGTACTTATCTATTTTTTTTTTAATAAAAATGTATAAATACTACTCAGTATTTAGACATTTTGAGTATTTATCCAAAAATCGTCTGTATTTAGTTACAGCATTAGTCTCTTTTTACCCGAAGTAGGAAGGGTATAGAGGTATATTCGATTATGATTCCTCATTGATCACATTCTATTTGCTACCTAATCGTTATTAATACAGTACTTTGTTCTTCTAAAACGAAATATTTAACACCATTAAATACTTAAAACTTAAATCGCCTGCCTCGTTGGCCGAGTGGTCGCCAGTGCGACTGTTTTCGGGTTCGATGCCCGGGTCGGCCAAAATATTACTGTGTTTTAAAGAAATTCTCAGTAGTAGCACGGAGTCAGGAATTGTGCCCGGTATATGGCAATAGGCTCACCCCCCATTACATGGGGCTCATAACATAAATAGTGAAAAGTGGGTGTTACATTGTACAGTGGCATAATGTGCACCTCTCTGCCTACCCCTTCGGGAATAAAAGGCGTGATGTTATGTTTATGTATGTTTGTATGCTTAAATAGAAAAATAATATTCTCAGTAGACATTTTTAACATCGGATGTTAAAATTACAACTCGTTAGAGTACCTAAGTATTGCGTTTGTAAGATCTCAAAGGAGCCTAAACCCACGCTTCACTAATACCAGCATTTGCGTTGGCGCTATAGAGGACAAGGGCATACAATTAAGGACGTCTGGATTCCAACCCCCACATCCACCCACCCCATGAATGCTCCACTGACTGCACCCCCCTCCTCCCGTACAGTTCTTCGAATATGTTAGTCAGATAAATTGTACAAATTCCACTACGTTCTCGTATGAGAGTAAAATTTTACGTGGAAATTGTTTGTTTGTGGAGTCAATGAATTTCAGGGTTTTGCTAATACATTTGTGTATAAAACCAGTTGTTCGATTTGTTGATGGATAATGGCTGATGTTTTAATAAATGGAATTAAATTTATCAATTAGCTTTAAGAGGTAGTATCTATGTGAGTTGTTGTTTCTTATAGCAGCTATAGTTATTTTTATAATAACTGTCGTGAGACATACTAAATTTACTAAAAAATTTAGGCTGTCCGACATCGCCGTGATCGGGCACGCTGCTCATGAGGAAGAGCCCCTCTGTGGCTCGAAACTAGTAGAGCTTTTCTCAGTATATTCATGTAAGTAACCCGCGATTTTTAGTTAAGTTATTGTCCGAAAGATCCGAATTAGGTAGTTTTATAAATTTTCCAAAATGTGAAAGTTTTCCCTATACGACTTAGATAGCAGATGCATGTTATACGGTGTCAGTAATTAATAGATAGAAACACATCACTTCATGAGTGGTCAGTTACCGATAAGCTAACAAGTCTTTTGATCAAGGAAACTCAGATTACAGCGATTACGTGGAATTATCACGGAAGTTTCATGTAGGACAGTGTTCGACGAGTTGAACATGTATTTTTAGATAGTCATTGATTTTATCAAAGTTGAGGAAACTATAACCTTACTCTATAAATCTTCTAGAAACATCTTTCAACGGGAAATAACTGGGTTTGGAATTAAACTACAGACTATTATTTTTTTTTTAAAAAAAACGTTGCCCCACACTTTACGTTGGCGATTTAGTTTACGAAGGTTTTATAACAAAAATAAATTGATTATAAACAGTAAAAACCTTTTTTAAACCAAGAGAATATAAGTATATGCAGGATACTAAAAGTTACACGTAAGTTCAAATGATTCAAGATACATTTAATTTTGATATTTTATATTGCGAATCCATCAAAAACAACTCAATTATTTACCTGCCCTTTTGGATCTTAAGTAATTAATTTTCTGATGGAAGTTATTTCGGAAGATGAGGAAAACCTCTTATAGGAGTCTTATCAAAATATTCCACTCGTGTATTA